AATTTATAAAAAGTTCCATTCTGGGCATCACACATTAAGGATTCATGCAAATTGGAACAGATTCAGAGAAGGGCAACAAGGATGATCAGAGGACTAGAAAATAAATAATATGAAAACAAACTGAAAGAACTGAGAATGTTTAGCTTTGGCAAGAAGCTGGGACAGGGGAGACAGAACAACACTCTTCAAGTACCAAAAAGGATGTCACATGGATGAAGGCCATGAAATAACACACTTAAGTTACAGGAAGGTAGATTCTGGTTGAATGTTAGGGGAAAAAAATTCTTTTACTGATATGAGTGGGTCAATAGTGGCATCAATTTCCTACAGAAGTAGATCAAGCACAAGATGTACAGCTATCTTAAATTTTAATTAAATTTAAATTTAATTAAATTTAATTAATTTAATTAAAAAATTAAAAGTTTTTAATTTTGCTTGTTGCATTAAGGGTTGTATTCAATAATATAAATGGTCCCTTCCAGCTCAAAAATATAATGGTATGCTTATTCAAACTTTTTTTTTTTTTTTGCTACTTGCATATTACTTATGCATTATATCATCTGGAGAAACATGCAGATTTACTTAGAAGTTTTTGAAAAATGTTATCCTCTTGCATACAAAACACAGAGCTGTTAAGAATATATATTCTGTGTTACCACTGAACATACTTCCCAGCAGGCACTGTGGCTTTCTGACCTCTTAAAAATATGATGATGTTGCCCCTTGCCTGGAACAGCTTACCCCTGGATATATGGACCACAGCCTCCTTATTACATTTCAGAAAGTCATAAAAACACGGCTCTTCAGAAAGGCATGTGAAAGATTCTGAACAACAGACTGAGTGATTATAACTGTATTAATTGATTTTGTTTTTAATCTTATATTAATGCTGTAAGCCATTCAGAGTTGGAATAGCTTACAGTATTAATGAATTAATTCTGGAAATGAAATAGCATATAAGTTATAGAAATAAAAAGACACAGAGACATGGATCACTGAAGTTATTGCAGAGTTATGTGCTGGCCCCCACTGTTCCCCTCTCAGAAAGCCTGTGATCCCCCCAGAGAAGATGATAAGTGCTGAATCTGCCCAACTGCCCATGAGGAATATAAATAAAAGGAAAAATGTGGCACTGCAATCACTACTACTCCACAGAAAGCAAAAGTGGCAAGAAGCTATTGTATTATAATGTTGCTCTGAACAACTTTTTCCAAGACTGTATGCTTCCTTCTCTTCTCATAATTCCTATCAATAGTCAAATATATTGTGATTCACAAGTGCAGACTTCTGCAAAACAGGAATGAAATAATCACAACTGAAAATGGGAGAGAAGCAAGATAATATAGTAACAGTGCAGGGACAATATGAGATTTAATGGGATTCAAGGGAAGCTAGAAACTCTAATCTCTCTGATGAGTCCTGTGATGATTCAGTTTTAGCCTATGAATTGTCTCTTTCTTTCTGACTGTAGGATTCCTCTAATCCTTCCTTCATAATGTGCAGTGAAAATGGTTCCAGATATAAAGGATTAGATTTTGGAGATGTGCAATCTAGCAATTTTTGAGAAAATTATAAATTCTGTCAATCAGAAAATGTAACATTATTTCTCCCTTTGGAAAAAAAAATTGGATAGGCTTGGTAAACATTGAAAACTTAACTTCCCCTTTCAAAGACTTAAAAAATCAGGTTGGAATATATTTGCAATTATAGATTTTTTTGTTTTTTAATGTTTTTATTTATTGTGTCATGATTTTTTCCCTTTTTCCTGTGTGTGTTCATTTTAATTTTATGTATGTTTGTTTGAAAATGAATTAACTTCATTGAGCACAAAGAAAACAAAATCAGTTATTTTATGGTAGTGTTTAGGTAGTGCCACATATGTTTCTAACTCCTTACAAATAGGTATCTATATCAAGGTATCAATGTTCTAAAATAGGAGTCCATGTTGAAAATTTCAACAGTTTGGTTGGTGAATAGAAGTTTTTATTCAAAATGGATGGCCTTAGAGGCTTAGGACACCTAGTCTGGGGGTTATTTCATTGTGAAAAAAAATCACACTATCAAAAACGGGACTTTGCTGCTAAACTTCAGAAATGCTAACTTGTGGGACACTGGGAATCAAAAAAGAGAGTTGATGGTTGCCCCCTCCTGATATAAAATATAAAAAGTACATTCAAATTTGACTCTAGTTGTCTGCATCCACAACACCATTATAGAAGTGTTTTGCTACTGCCATTTTCTGTGATATTCTTTCAACTTCCCAGTTGAAACAGAAATAGAGAAAAAGGGGAAGGAGAGCAAAACAGATTAAGAATATGCAGATATGTTCCAAAAACTTCATGAAAAAGGTGAAATTTCAACAAGGGAAGGTTATTACATGGTGTTATTCTGCGAAGCAATTCTTGGCATAAGAGATATCAAGGGGAAAAGATACAAAATAGTGTCTGGAAAACCTCAGATGCCTGAGATACTAGAGTGAATGTTATAAGAAATAATGTGCTGGGATTAAAAACACTTAGGTAGGACAACAACCATGGAGAAGCTTGAAAGTTTGGATGAACAGTTTGCATAGGATCCTAAAATAGGCAGGAAATCAGTGTAGGTTTTTATGGCTGGGCTTCATTATAGCCAAAGTGACACAAATAATTCTGATAGCATAGTGCTGGAAGATCAGAAAGGATTTTATGACATTAGAACATAGATACAATTCACCATATATTAAAGCATGTTATTGAATCACTTTATATGTTTATCTGCCTTCTGCTTAGTCTTTCTGCATTACTGTACTTTAAGTGAATATTTAAATAGAAATTTTCTATATTAAATGTATTTATTTTTAAAGCTGAGACAATTATAGCTAGGCTAACAATCACCTAGAACTCACACTAAGATATAACTAAAGCCACCTTACCTTGTTTCATTTCTTGGTTTGGAGCCATCATTCAGCACAGGACCTTAAGCACAAGGTAATAAAAACTTACAACTTTTGACATACTAAAAAGATATAAGCATTACATAATAATCATAACAGGGCAATTTTATGCACTTAAATATATGATGAATTAGGACCATAGTTGTCCCACCAAAATAGAAGAGCCCAGAACCAGGAGATAGTTCCTAGCTGAGCAACAGAGCAGGGTAGAATTTTCAGCAATACATCCTTCCACTTCAGCCCCCATTATCCCTTCATTGTTGATCTGGAGAGTCCCTAACAATCCAGGTAAGTTTTTCAGGGAGCTGAGAAGAGAGAAAGAGGATTCTGCAATTTTATTATAATTCAAAATCAGTTAGACAGGAGGTTTGTAGGCACCATTGCCTGTCTCTGGTTAAAATATACATTGATGGTGCCTGAAATTAAACAGCTGACATTTGCAAGAAGAATAAATGCTATGGAAGATGATAACAGACTATAGAAAGTTGTTTCTCAAGTGGAAAAAATGGAACATAGTGATCCAGCTTAGTGTCTTTTCTACTGAAGCAACATTTTTGAAATCAACTCCCCAGGGAGGTCATCTGTTTATATTATCTCCTTGGGTCAGAAGACAACTCTTATTTGCCTGGATTTAGTTAGCTATTTTGGGCTTTATACATAAAAATAAACACTTGAGAGATAAATAAATATTAATTGATAAATGATACTGTGATGTTTCTAAGATTGAACCAAAGAAGAACTTGTGAGAAAGAAGAATTCAATGGCAAACTGCTACATAAGGTCTAATACAGTTTTCTCCAACCTGTTGCCTTCCTGATGTCTTGGACTAAGACCTTTTAATTCCTAGTTCATGTGACTGCAATCCATGCAAATTGAAAAAATATAGGTGATATAGCTCAACACTTCTAGAGGGCAACAAGAGGAAAAACAGTCTCACAGCAAAAGTAAAAATGGATGCGGAATCTGGGAGAGCAGGTTTTTTATTAGAAACATTACCAGAGGCATAAGGTAGAAAAATAAGATTTCAAACTAAAATAAACAAGTTCAGACAAGAAAAGATTGGTGAGATAAAATTCACTAAGAGCTGACAACAATGAAGACTGATTCTTATTAACCCAGTGCAGAGTATGCAGAGCTTTACCAATGACAAGATATCACGGGCTTATGTAGTATGCAGCAGTTTGAGAAAAATGTCTATAAGTATTAACCGACAAACTGAATTACTGTCACTAATCTTCTGCTATTGAAAAAGAACAAACACCATGGAAACTTGTATTAACATATATAGGAAATATCTGGTCCATTCTTTCCATGCTTCAGTGGCTACAAATCAAAGGTCGCAAAGTGGGGAGGTAATGTTGCTGTTCCTTCATGACATCATGGCTTCCCGCCTAACAGATGGCTGAATATAAGGATCTATACTTAAGACTGGGGTCCAGGTATCAGCCATTTAAGGTCGGCCACATCAGGAAACAGACCCTGAATAAACTACTGGAACTGTATTGTTTATAAGACATAACAACAGAGTCTTGAAAATCTGATGGAGTTTTTAATCTCCCTTCCTCTTATTCCAGAGTGAAAGCAGGGCAATTCTGAGTTTCTTCCTCACTCCCTCTTGTCTTTCTGGGCTAAGTTCATGTTTTCCTAACAGCTGCCACATACCTTCTTCAAGGCTATCACAGTACTCCTCTACAACAAGGATCAGCTGGAGATGCGGCTGGTGGTCCTGCTCCTTCCTAAGTGGGCAGCTCCAACTAATATTAATGGGGGAAGAGTGTTCAAGTCCATGGCCACTCCACTATGGGGTGTCACTAGGCTCAGCACCGTCCCCCATCTTACGTAATGTTTATATGAACCTGTTGGGAGACATCATCTATCAGTTTTGGATAGCTTCATCAATAGGAAGTTCCTATCCAGTTAATACTCCAAAATGGACCAGGCTGGAAAAGCCTTGGACATTCTACCCTGGTGTCCGGAGGCTGTAATCTGAACTGGAATCCTACCAAGCCAGAATGGTTGTTTGTCCAGAAACTGGCTGGTTCTCTGGTGACTCCTACACTAATACTGGATATTATTTATTACATTTGTATGCCTCCAAATCTGCCAGGGGCTTACAAAAGTCAACTATTAAAACATCCACAGCATTGTCAGCAATTATACAATGAAAACTAAGTGATTTAAAATGATAAAACCTAACTTTTATAATCTTGACAGAGTCATTATGATCCAATCTGGAAAAAAAACCACAATAGCAGCAATAATAAATAACTGACGGCAAACAACTGCCAAATGCCCTCTGGAATAGCTTTGTCTTTACTATTTTCTGGAATACCGTTAAAGGAAGAAGCAAGTCTGAGATTTTTGAGGAGAGACTATTCCAAAGGACTGGGGCCATAACCAAAACACCCTACCTCCTGGTCTCAGCCCCCTCCCCTGGTCCCCATTTTCATGGAACTAGGAAACAGCCACCAGTTTCTCCAAGGATGGGCTGATTCTGGTTGGAAAAGGCTCCCTCTAGAATAGAGCCACTGGTCATAGACAAGGTGTTGCAGATTATAAAACAAATTGCAGATATAAATCCTGCTCAAAGCATGCAGGAAAACACAGACATAAGAGTTTACTTTCCCAAACCAAAACAATCAGGAAAAAAAAAAATCACAGCTCCAAGAAAGATCTAAGAATGGGGAGTTTCCATTCCACAGTTCAGCTGGGTAATCCACTTAGTGCATGGACAGTGTTTCATTAAGTGAGGTGGAACACTGTTTGCCACAAAGAGCCTGTCAGATAGCCCTAATTATCAGCTCAACTAATCTGCTGAGTCAAGCTTCTTTCTGTCAAGTAGAAAGCTTGACTTCCACTGCTCTTTGTAATTTGTGATTGGTGCAGAGTTCAGGACTTTTCCTAATTCAGGCTCTGGCTCTGCTGACCCAGCCTGCACCTATCTCTCCTCAAATGCCTCTTCTACTGGTGAATCCTTGTCTGTTAATTCACATGGTGCACTGAGACTGTCTAGTCAGGTTCTTCAACTTCTGAATCTGAAGAACTGCACTGATTTCTAGTAAGTGTCTTGATAGATGAACAACCCTGCCCTGTCCCTGACTTTGAGGTTGCTGTACGATCTTCAAGCTGGGAGGTCAGATCTTGAATAGGGCAACATCACTGCCCTTACCCAGCCAAGTTTCAATAATACATATATACCTACCTACTTATGCCTATCTTGTGGAACAAGGGCTTTTTATAGATGGACCTAGCATTTACTAATAATTTGAGGCCAAAGTCACTAGCAATTCAGCCACCAGGTCTTAGGAATGGGCATCTGGGGCAGAAGTGAAGATCAATCCCTCTTTCCCTGGAATGGAAAACCTAGTGTCCCACAATATAGTATCTCCCTTGACCCATCATCACAAGATCAGTCCAACCTCCCCAATCTCATGGAATGACCCCCTCTAACACTGCTATACCAATCCCCCCTCACATATAAACATCCCCAGCCACCACATGACTGGAAGCCAACAATCTGCCTTTCTCTCTTTCATTCATCAACACACATATATTTGTTTTGTTTTGTTACACTATGTTGATATCCATCAAAAAATGCAAGGGTTAAATATCAGGCATGCTCCTATAAGAAGCATAAGCATAAGGCCCCTCCTGCCCCAGCCTATACTCTCATTCTAGGCCAGCCCATGCTCAAGTCCCCACTTCTCACTTAGAAAGCTGCCCAGCTCTGATACCAATTACAGTGGAACCTCGGTTTACGAACTTAATTCGTTCTGTGACTCTGGTCGCACCCCAA